GGCAATACTGCCGCATTTGTTTTTGTTTGACATAATTGCCGTTAATATTAGCCAAATATCTAACTGCCTACATAGATGACAAAGAAAATACATATAGAAATTTTCAAGTAATCGAGTGTCAGTCGGTGTTGTCGACCGATATATAACCTCATCCTATGGTTTTCGGAATTACACACAGGTTTTATTATTCGGTTTATTCGGAAGAAGCTAGAATCTTCAAATTTTGGGTGAAGGTCACTCTTGGTCCAAAGGTGACAGATGAGGCTGGGTTTTCGGAAATTCGTACTAGAACGGTACGAAAAGTACTAAATGTGATACCATTTGTATTTGGCGAACCGGTGGAGCTAGAACTCTTAAATTTTAAATGAGGGTCACTGATGATGGAGTGTAGAAAAGATATAGCAACAAGTTTCTTGGTCATTCGAACTATAAGTATGCGAAAAGTACTAAAATGTACTAAAGTTGGTACAATTTCGTAACATGTGAATGGATAGAGCTAAAAACTTGAAATTTGGAATGCGAATATGGTACATCTATCTATTTAAGGAGATGGTTTTGAAAGCGTATTATGTGCAAGAAAAGTCCTACACGGTACTATATTTGGTACAAATTTAATTCGGAGGCACAAATCGATCTGGAATCCCTAAATTTGACATTAACATTGCTGTCGGAGTGTAGGATTGGGATATGTACGTAGTTTTGGAAATTTGTTACTTATGTGTACGAAAAGTACTAAATCGTATCATAATTGGTACAATTTGAATTTGGGTGAACCGATAGAGCGGGAACTATGAAATTTGGAGTCAGGATTATGTTGAAGAAATTAATTTACTTTGATTTAGGATCACTGTGGAGGTGTAGGATTGAGTTATGTAGGAAGTTTTGGAAATTCGTACTACGGTGTACTAAATTTGGTACAATTTGAATTGTGGGTGAACCGATCAAGTTGGAATCGTGAAACTTAGATTTAGGATCACTGTGGTGTTGTAGGATTGGGGTATATAGGAAGTTTTGGAAATTTGTACTACGGTGTACTAAATTTGGTACAATTTGAGTTGTAGGTGAACCGGTCGAGTTGGAATCCTGAAACTTGGATTTAGGATCACTGTGATGGTGTAGGATTTAGTTATGTATTAAGTTTTGGAAATTTGTACAACTGTGTATTAAATTCGGTACAATTTGAATTGTGGGTGAACCGATAGAGTTGGAATCGGGAAACTTAAATTTAGGATCACTGTGGTTGTGTGGGATTAAAGTATATAGGAAGTTTTGAAAGTGTGTACTACTGTGTACAAAATTTGGTACAATTTCAATTGTGGATGAACCGAGAGGGTTTGAATCCTTAAACTTGGATTTGGAATCATAGAGAGGGTGTAGGATCGGGGTATGCATGAAGTTTTGTTGTATGGTTGAGGTGAGTACTCATGGAAATTATATGTGCTAAATGGAACTACATTTTATAAAATTAGAGCTCGAATCATGAAATTTGGTAGTAGAACATGTTCTAAAACTTCAATTGTCACAACACATTTAAACTTTTGGACTTCTGCCAGATTTTCAATGCGCTTTCCGCGGACATAGAAGTACAACCACTTTGCTCATTGGACTTACTGATTTCATTAGAAAGTCATTTGATGATCTCAATGAAAGTGTACTTGTATCTATTGATATGGAGAAAGTCTTCGACCGGCTGGACTACGGTACACTGTTGCGTAAACTGAATACAATATACCGACTGAAAAGCAGTGCGTGTCATTTGATATCCTCATATCTGACAAAGAGAGAGCAATATGTATTCGTAAATGGTGTAACATCCAGTATACTCTCGGTGAGAAGTGGTGTGCCGCAAGGCTCAGTGCTTGGACCATTATTATTTATGCTGTACATTAATGATTTATTTTCCTCCCTGTGTCATTATAGCTCACCATTCCGCTTTGCTGGCGATGCTCAAATTTTATTCACAAGCAACATCGACTCAATAGATATGCTATAGCCAAAATTAATTACACTCTATCTATAATTAGAGAATGGATGACTGCAAATAAGCTGTCTGTTAACCCTTCCAAAACAAAAGCAATGCTTTTTTCTCCCCGCGATTTTATATTAATTGTAAAGTATAATGCTAATAAGCTTGACTTCTCCTATCACAAAGATCGAGTTGTTTCACGTATAAACTAATCTTACGAAATCATATTAAAAATTATTAATTCATTCTCTAGTTATGCCAACCATACTCTACTGTATTGAACTCTTTTTCTGACACAACTATTACCAGAATGAAGCTCGTTCACAAGGCTTTCAATGACGCAATGCGTTGCTTCTATTCTTCCAAACGCTTAACTCATATTACGCCTCAAAAAAGGGACTTTTTGGGATGCACATTTGATAAATATGTTAATATTCGGTGCCTCTTACTGTTTTATATGATTGTTAAATTTCAATGTCCTTACCTTTTTGTTAATTCGTTTACATTTGCTCGTTCTACTCGGATTACAACCTTCTAATACCTCGATTAGTTGGAAGGATGGGTAAGTCATTTCGGGTTAGGGTCTCTTTAATGCCCTTCCCAATAACTTAAAAACTTTTTTGAAGATGCCGCGCATTTTGGGGCATCTTCAAAAAACTGAGAACTAAATTTTTTCTGCTTTATCAAATTATTTATTATCTACAAAAAATTAAATAATAATATTATTAAATGGGTTTTAAAAAATATATCTATACTAGCGGGACCCGTGGCGCTTCGCTGCCCCTACTGAAGTTATCAAATTAAAACTTAGATATGATCAATTAGTAAGCGTCCTATATACAGAGTACAAAATAATTTGAAAAGTTCGGGATGGCAATACTTCAAAATCAACATAACAGCCAATCAGAAGTAGCCATTCATTTTTACTATTTTTACTCGGCCAAATTTCTCGAGTAAAAAGTTTACAAAGAGAACGCCATTTTGTTTTGTGCTCTCTTAAATTTTATTCAATGTTTTACCAGTTTTGTGGGTTCAGGGACGGTTTTCGAGTAAAAAGTTGCAAAACTTGTAAAATTAGAAGATTCTTTTAGGTTCTGGAACGGAACTATTTTGTTTGATTTTGTTCAAAATAAACTTGTTTTCACAAACTGACAAAAATGAAAAATTATAATGTCAATTTTTTTTCAATTTTACACAATTTTTATTTCACTATACATACATACATATCCTTATCGTTCGAAAATATATCCTCATCGGATGATGAGTATTTGTATCCATGTTACTCAACCATATTTTCAAGCCGCTACCGTAAGATATACCCATAGAAAATGTTCGACATATGTATGTATGTACATTCTTTAAGATGTGTGAATACTTTTGATACTATTACTCCTCAGTTTTATCTAACCTATGTTACTTCGATGGGATCGCTTGACTTACCATGAACATATAAGTAAAATCTGCTTAGTGGTTTTTCAGACCAAAAACAATAAGTTTTCTATTTTCTACGTATAGATTTAAATGCAATGAGGTGTGCATTTTCCCTTGTCCGCGGTCATGTTGTGTTGATGATGCGTATTTGCACTCACGTTACTCAGCAATAATTTGAAGTCGGTATCTATAACTGTACTTAAGATATACACAAATTACATGTTCATAATTTTTGAAGTATGATTAAGTTCGATGCTATAACACCGCATCTTCGGGAAATTTTAGAAGTTTATATAGCATATGTTATTCCCAGGGCAATTTATGACGTTCTGTGAAAATGTCAGTAAAATCTATTCAGCATTTTCAGAGTCTACAAACAAAATATTTTCAATTTTCAATATGCAGATTTTTAAAATGCAGTAAAAAGTGAATTTTCCGTTGATCGTACCATGCTCATTTTTGTATGGATGCTGTGTATTCACACCTTCGTTATTCATTCATTTAAGCCTACATTATTATTGAAAATATTCAAAATGTTTAATTTTTTTTTCAATTGGATTGACATTGTATTGAAATTTTTTTTGGGAGAATACAACAAATAATTGAGAAGTATATCACACGTTTTCCATAGAATGCACGTACATTTTAAGACTAATGCAAGGATGAAAAATCAGAAGACATTCTGAATCGAGTTCGTGTCCATTCAGGATATGAAGGATTCTAAGATCCATGCCCTAGATTAATTTGTTTAAAAATAATAATAATGTGAACATGTTGTTCCTTAAAGTGCCTGAAATGTTGCTATGCCACGTGAAATATCAAATCAGGTGGTTAATCGTTTTTCAATATCTTTGAACTTATTGTGAATAATGTCAAACAAAACACGACTGAGAGAATTGGAATAAAGTATATACAAAAGAATAAAAGATGATGACAGGAGCTTTTCTTCCTGATTAAATGGATAAATTTCGTCCCTTTTTGATTTTGCCTGCGAAGAAGATTGGATGCGTGGCTCCCTGTAACCGTCGAAGAAAAAAAAACAACCAAAGTTTTTGAGAAGTGAATTCATCTGGTTTATTTGTTGAAACACATACACAAACAACACAAAATACAAACTATTTTAAAGAAAATCTGAAGCCTTTAAATAATTAAGCAACATTAAACGAAAAAAAGGCTAAAAATTGAAAGGAAATTTATAACAAAACAAATAGTTTTCAAAAAATTGAAAATTAAAAGAAAATTGAACCTTTTTTAAAATTAAACAAAGTTTGAAAACAATTTAACAATATTGAAAAAAAAAACCCAAACAATTGACTAAAATTCTAAAGCAATGAATATAAATCTTAAACCTAAAAATTCATGAAGAATTGGAGCCTACAAGCCACACCATCGCCCATCCAATCCATCGAGGGAGGCGCAGAGTTTACGCCATTGCTGCTCCAGCGTGGCTTGGTATCATTCCCAATTGACACTGAAACTTATTTAACTCCGGACAGACAGATGGACGACTAAGCTACATAATTAAATTCCGCGGTTTTTCCTGAAAAGAATAAATAAATTAAAAAGGGTGAACAAACGAGTTAATATTAAATTTTTTACTTACTTTGTGTTGGTATGCAGGTACGCGACATTGAACTGAGCTCAATTCAAGGTTAGGTTACCAGGCATTGTTTAGATCGTCGATTTAATGTGGTATCGACCTACATTCCTTTGTTCGTCCTCATCTGGAATTGAAAGCAAGAAAATTATTATTTACATTCTGACCGAGGAATATAATTAAAAAGCTGAAACACGAACTAATTCGTACATACTTACGTTTTGGGAAAAAGCCTTAGTCACAAGCTGCCGTCAAGGTTCTACACTCTGGGTGCCCGCCGTTAAGCCCTAAAAGTACAAAAAGAAAAGAATACTTTCGAAAATTGATTTTTATTGGCAATTCTTTGTTTTTTTCTGAAATTTTTATATTATAATTCGCTGTAAATTGTTAGATTTTGATTCAAATTACGATGGAATGAATTGTTTTTTTTCCCAAATATGTAATATAGTTTTAATAAATAGGTACTGGATTAAACCTGAAAAGATAAAAATGTCTTCGGCTTAAAGCCCTATTAAAAAGGTGATGGGGATGGGATAAAATATGGTAAGTCAAGGGTCAGACCTGGGACGTCCAGTATGAGTAGACGTCATGGCGAGAGGTGTTCTCGGAGGGAGGGCTATCTCCTGGCTGGTCAGCCGCCAGGAGCACTGTTTCTGTGAAGAAAACTAATGTTATTTTGGGATTTGGTTGCAGTTAGGTGAACGTTTTCTTCTATTTAATTTTTTTTGTTGACATGTTTCAGGCTTCTTTTTACCCCCTTTTTGATTTAGTTTGAAGTCCGGTATGATTTTTTTTGTTTGTTCAACCGAAAAGATCTGCAAGTGGCAAGAACCAACCCCCAATCCGACGAGCCATAGCCGCGCTAAACGACAGCATACCGGCAACGCCACTTAATGGTCAACACAGCGATTTCATTTCGTTTTTCTTGAACACGGTTGTTACAAAATGGCGCCCAACGTGGGGCCTGAGACATGCTAGCTTTTAATAATTTTTAGTCGTATTGTGTAAATGTGTTTACCATGAATCTTTAATGAGTCCCGTCTAGGTTTAATTAAGAGTCCTGACGCGTTGCTTCATCGAAGACTCAGGTAAACATCATTTATATTTGGGAAAAATATGATTTTTATTATTTTTTTTTCTAGTGGCTTAGTCGTTCTAGTTTAATACTTCTAATGGCACTAGCTTTTTAATAAACTTTCATATTTTAGTAAAGTTAAAATTTCAGATTTCTTAAAGTTATATCGTTGAAGAAATTCGTCTGGTTTATCAGTTCTCATTTGTGGAGACCCGTCCAAGCAGCCTATAAGAAGGCAGGTGACGCGCTGCTACGCAAATATGAATTGTTATTCTCAAACGAATTTGTTAATTTGGGTTTTTTAGATTTTAGTTTCTGTCTATATTTAATTTCAGTACCCGGAATTTGGTAGCTGATCTCAGACTTACCTAGAGTTTCCATTCGGTCCTGCGACAATTTTGGCTTCCGACCATTGGTCGTATTGTCATGGAATCTTTTAAGGGAGGTCTGAGTAAGCCGCCTATTCCATTTTAATTTTTCAGTCCATTTCAATTCTATTTTTGCCAGTGTAGCTCACCAAATCCCTGTAAAAAGTGAAACATATTAAAATTCATACAGAAACAGTTTATTTGACCTTGACTTACCACTATTTTGACCAGAAATCCACCACCTAACATTATTTGAATTTTTCCAGTTTATTTTCATCAAAATTATTCTGCCGGATAATAGAATTTGTAAAAGTGAAAAGTGTGAATTAATTGTGAAAGAACTGAATTACATTGAATTTATTTTTTTAGTTTACTTACCACAATTGTTTTTATTTTTTTTTTCTTTAATTCAAACCACCGTGTGGTTTACTTTCGAGCAAATTCTTTTGACAGATTTCTTTTTGATTTTTTATCGCTTTTTCTGAATTTTTTTGTTTACTAATTTGGTTATATCAAAAAGCAATATGCCTCTTACTAGAGCTGCGAGTGCAGGTTTGGCAGGTAGACCGATATTAGGGCAAAATGGGGTGGTAACCACTTCCGAATCTACAGCCGTAAGCAGTGTTGTTACCGCGGTTCACAGCGCACCTTCTAACGCACAACAGGTTACAACTGCCGCGCATAGTGGTCCCATTGCTTCTCATATCGCACATTTAGCACATGGGGACGTCCCAGCTCAAGGTGTTTCATCATCAATGTCCAATTCATCGGCACCGCCACCAGTTCCATTAAGCATGCAAGAGGCCGCTAACTCGTTTAACACGTCTTTTTGGTCACATGGAAGCGTTGCCTCGCCAAACTATAGTGTTTTGACCGGGTTGCAGAATAGACCAGTTGTCCCGCCAGCAGATCCAGCAGTCAGCGCAGGAGTCAGGGAAATTATTAATTCTGCCATCGCCCTGTCCCAATTGCAGTACCGTCAACAGGAAGAAGAAAGATTGAGAGCTCTGATACCTCGAATTGCTGAAGCGGCCAAGCGTTCGTTGTTGGGAGACAATGACGGCACTAATCAAGTATTTTCACAAGCCGGCTTGGCGATGCCAGCAGCGGCACCACATGCACCAGCGCGCACATCCCGGGAGTCAGTCATTCTGTCTTCACATGCATTGGCGTCAGGCTTAACGTCTCAGCAGCCTAATTTAGCAAGGGGTTACACACTACCATATCCGGAGCGAGTAAATCCACCACCGATTCACGATCCTAGACCGTTGTCACTTGGTCCTTTTAACCAACCGCCACCAGGGTTCACATCAAGTGGTGCACCAGCACAACCACCAACCAGCTTATCGGTACCACCACCAGTCGCCGGAGTCCAAACTCACACAATACTGCCGGCCGAGAGGTTGCCTAATATCTACAGCAGAGGCATGCGGACAGAGCCACACGAGACACATACCAGTCCACATCCCAGCAGTATCATCTCAGAAATCTCGGGGCGTTTTAATTTGGCGAAATGGGGAGTATCTTTTGATGGTACCGACAAAACCATGAGCGTCCAAGAATTCATCTTCAGAGTGGGTGAACTTAAAAAAGATTATAATTGCCCTGATGAAGTATTGATCACCAAATTTCACCAACTTTTGGAAAAACCAGCTCTCGATTGGTATTGGAACCACCGGAAATTGGTCCAGTTTCGCACATGGAAGGAGTTGGAAAGTGCTTTGTTGGCGCAATACCAAAGATTTGAAAATGAATTCCAGCTTCAAATGCAGATTTTAAATCGGCGTCAACTACCACATGAGAATTTTGAAGATTTTTATAATGATGTACTGCGGCTACGGACACAGCAAAAGTCGCCATACAGGGAGCACGAGATAGTGGAAATAATGAGAGGCAACCTTAAGCCGTCTTTAGCCCAAATGATCTTCTCGGCTCAGATAAATAGCTTGGGTGATTTTTATAGGCAGGTGAAGAAAGCCGAAAATCTGGTATGGACCCAAAGACAGCAACGCTACAACACACCACAGAAAGTGCATGAGCTTGAATGGCAGATGGAAGAGGAACCTCGAGGCGATATTGAAGTTGATGCCGTGACCATGACATCCAAGTATAAATGTTGGAACTGCGGTGTTATGGGTCATAGCTGGATGGAGTGCCGGGAGCCTCGAAAGATTTTCTGCTATAGGTGTGGCCAAGAAGGTGTTACCGTCCCCGATTGTCCGAAGTGTCAGGGAAACCGGCACAGGAACCCACCTCAGTCTGGGCAGGTGAGGTCAACCCCAGTTTAAGCCCAGAGCAGAGTAGTAGTAGTTCCAGTATTAAAGTTTCTATTTTGAAGAATGTAGAGCAAGAAAGTAGAAAGTCAGAAGTAAAACCGAGATTGAGAGAGTTGAAACCACTTCATATCAGAGTAAGAGAATATTGCGAGGCGAGAGAAAGAATTTTTGGTCAAGTTTCCAATAAAATTAAGAAGGCTAGAGAGCGATATAAGAGGAGAAGACGCATTCGTCAGGAAATAGCCTCGGCTACCCTATTTGAAGGCGAAGATAATCGTTTATATACCAAACTGCATATCAATGGTGAAGAAATAGAGGGATTGCTAGATAGCGGAGCCTCCGTTTCCTGTCTGGGGAAAAATTGCCTTAGCTTTGTGGAGAGAGCGGGATTGGAAATTAAGCATTTCCATTCTTTTATTAAAACAGCAGATGGAAGCCCACATAAAATAGTTGGCAGGGTGACGACTAATGTAAAATTTAGAAAGCAGGAGCATCCTATCATATTCTATCTTGTTCCTTCTCTGAGCCGTGAGTTGTTTCTGGGGGTAGACTTCATGAAACGTTTCCAAATGTTTGCTCAGGTGGACGGTTTGTCACTCCAGGAAGTGAGTCTCTGTGGTGAGCCGGAGATCAGTGATGTTAACAGCCATTCTTTGTCCGAGGAGCAACGAGTTCGTTTGCAAATAGTGAAGGACAAATTTCCTTGCTTTACCAAGTATGGCTTGGGAAAGACTAAAGCTGAGGTCCATTCAATCGACACCCGCGATGCAACCCCGGTGAAAGATAGGCATTATCCCGTTTCCCCGGCTGTGCAGAAACTTATGTATGCGGAATTGGATAGGATGATAGAGCTAGGTGTGATTGAAGAGAGCGAGAGTCCATGGAGTCATCCGGTTACTCTAGTCCGAAGGGGCGAAAAGAACCGTTTGTGCCTGGACGCTCGCAAACTCAATGCACTGACGGTCAAGGACGCCTATCCATTGCCGCATATAGAAGGTTTACTCAGTCGGCTGGGGGATACCTATTTTATTTCTAGTGTCGACCTGAAGGATGCGTTCTGGCAAATTCCACTGGATCCTTCAAGTAGAGAGAAAACTGCATTCACAGTGCCGGGACGACCGCTTTACCAATTTACCGTCATGCCCTTTGGTCTGTGCAATGCAGCCCAAAGGTTATGCCGTTTAATGGATAAAGTGATCCCTGGCGCACTACGTGATAGAGTTTTCGTCTACTTGGATGATCTTTTGGTTGTTTCGCCAGACTTCGACACTCACATGGGATTGCTAGAGCAGGTGGCAGGTTGTTTGGCTAAAGCAGGACTCACAATAAATGTAACCAAGTCGAAGTTCTGCTTCAAAGAGCTTAGGTACTTGGGTTACATTGTTGGAGGTGGCAAACTTAAAACTGATCCGGCAAAGGTGGAAACAATAGTGAAGTTTACATACCCGAAAACAGCAAAGCAAGTGAGGAGTTTCATGGGTACGGCAGGGTGGTATCGAAGGTTCATTGCCGACTTTGCCACCATTGCGGCTCCCATCTTTGAAACCCTCAAGAAAGGAAAACGATTCACTTTCACAGAGGAGGCCAAGGTTGCATTTGACAAACTGAAACAAGCCCTTGTAAGTAGTCCTGTCCTGACACACCCAGACTTTAACAGACACTTCTATGTTCAGAGCGATGCATCAGACTTGGGAATAGGAGCAGTATTATTTCAAAGAGACGATGAGGGTGGAGAGCATCCCATTGCTTATTTTTCGCAAAAGCTGACTTCTGCTCAGAAAAATTACTCGGTGACTGAGAGGGAGTGTTTGGCAGTAGTGATGGCCATTAAGAAATTCAGGCCATATATAGAATTGATGCCTTTCACAGTTATAACTGACCATAGCAGTTTAAAGTGGCTCATGTCACATCGAGATCTGAGCGGAAGGTTAGCTAGATGGAGCCTACAGTTGCAGGCATATTGTTTTGAAATAGAGCACCGTAAAGGAACCCAGAATATAGTACCTGATACTTTTTCAAGATATGATATGGAGGAGATTTCTCTAGATGTGAAGACCTTAATCGATCTCGATTCCTTAGCTTTTAAAGCAGACGATTATTTAGCCTTAATAGAAACCATCAAAAACAATTCTTCACAACTTCCCGATCTAAAAGTGGTTGATGGTTTGGTATATAAACGAACTCAATTCTACGACGGAATACCCCTTAATGAAGATTTCGCTTGGAAGTTATGGGTACCCAGCGAATTGACCCAGCAAATCATTGAAAAAGCACACTGTCCACCACAAGTTTCTCATGGAGGTTTCCACAAAACTCTTCGTAGGGTAAAAGAGTACTTTTTCTGGCCAAATATGAACACTCAAGTTAGAAATTTTGTACAAAATTGTGATATTTGTAAAGAGACAAAACCAGCCAATTCGACTCTTCGTCCATCTATGGGAGCCGAGACTATTACAGAAAGACCTTTTCAACGAATTTATGTAGACTTCTTAGGTCCTTATCCCAGAACCAAAACGGGAAACAGTTTTATTTTCATTGTGGTAGACCACCTTTCAAAATACGTTTTGCTAAAAGCCATGGCCAAAGCAAATTCAAGAAATGTAGTTAAGTTTTTAATTAGTGAAGTATTTCATAAATTTGGAACCCCAGAAGTTATTGTGTCAGATAATGGGAAACAATTTATTAGCAAAGAATTTTCAGATATGATTAAGCTTTTTGGTATAAACCACACCAAAACTGCGTTTCACTCTCCGCAAGCAAATGCCTCGGAGCGGGTAAATCAATCTATTTTATCAGCAATTCGAGCATATCTGGGAAAATCATTAGAATGCTAAACTTGATCAAAATTTATCAAGATGTGTTCTCTGCATTGTTAAGCCAGTTGGGAAATGCCTTTTGCGCTCTTAGAATATGATAAAGGACATCCCATTGGCATTTTTAGCCACGCTAAGGATTTGAAGCAATAAATGCTTACGAATTGAAGAAATTAATTTTTCTTCTATTTATGCATTTGTTTTTTTCTTGATTTAGCTAATCTAAATTCAGTTTTAAAATAAAGCGGAGATCTCAAAATGAAATACTAATCCGCTACGTATGCACAGGAAATATTTAAAATTTATCTCTTAATTCTATCTTAACTTAACTTAAAGTTACCTTAAGTTTAAATTTTTCCAATACTCACCTGAATTTTCAAAGAGTTCCGGAAGATCCAATTGAATTTAGTAGTAGTAGTACCTGAATTAAAAAAAAAAGTACAAATTTTATTACAATTATTTAAGATATAATGTTAAGAGGACTAACCTGAATTTCTACTTACGAAATGTCCTTTTAGTATTCCCGAATTTTTTAACAAGCTGTAGGACAGCTTTTCCTTCCTGAGTGATGTGTAGTTGTGTGAATGGGTAAGGGTTGAACCCAATTTCTCCAGTTTTTTGAGTCATAAAGGAAAAGAAAAAATATATGAATTAGTGAAATATCATTATGTAGGATTATTGGCGAAATAGAAAAATACGAATAAAAATGAACAACTTAAAAATAAAATTAAATTTGAAATGTCCATCCCAAGCCATACTTACAAAGTTTTTTTTAGCTAAATTTTGGTTATAAATTATGAAATTTAAGTTTATAAATAAATAGGGTTCTCATAATTTTTCTCATTTTCCAGAGCAAAATTACGAAAACTACGAAATAGAATTAAAACTACAACTTACGTTCATTTCTAAAGCGCCGACCGTAGTCCCACCACAAGTATCGGCTAGAACATTTGATGAAGTAGGAGAAAGAAAAAGGAGAACAGGATTAATCGAACTTACCATCAAATATAATTTCCTGGTTTCACAGGAGAGGCAAATTAAGTCGCATGTAGGTAATAAATGTCTGGAAAGATAAAAAAGGAAGTTATTACTATTTTTCTTATTAAATTATTAGCATTTCTATTTTTACTTACCTTTTTGTGAATGCAATATCCAATTTGAGTAACTTCTCTAGATGTCTTTTGATTATTGAGACCATGGAAAATTTTTTTCTTGCAACCATAGGAGGCCACTCGCCTAGACACCAACAGCAGCGGTCAGAAAGAATTCGTTGGATTACGAACGGAAGCATCCCAGATTTACCGACTCTAACAATATGTCTACGATTCCTGAGCAGTCACGTTGTGACTGTCCTTGACCATTTGTGCACTCTTCCTTTATATTCCCATACGCAACTATGGCACAAGGCAGAAGAGTGTTGTACACAAGGTCGCAGAGCTGTCAGTCATCGATTTAC